GCTGCAAGCGAAGCGCAGCGAGTGCTCAATTTGCAAAGCAAAGCTCAAAGAGCATTATCACAGCATGCGCCATGCTGCCATATACTGAATATGGTTTTCGCCGCTGTCTCATTTGGAACGTGGCTCAAAGCAGCAGCCACCCGCATTCGGGTTTCAGGTTATTGCAACCCCCGCCGAGCGCGTTTCACTTGAGCAATTGCGCAATTTCTTGTCGGCGTCTGCAACGTGTGAGGTTCCATTATTCCTTCGCCTGCCTCCTCTCTGCCTTTACAACATGAGAATCCGCATTCAATTGGGGCAATCGCCATGCGATAAGCCTTCAAGTCACGCAGCTCTAATGCAAATTTGTCAGTTATTATTAAATTATGTATTTTAATTCAATTTGAAATCGTGTGTGCTTTCGTTGATTTTTGTTTAAAGGTTAAATGTAGTTGGAAATGAAACACTTACAAATTATTTTAGTTGAATTGCTTCCATATCAAATCCCTATATTATTTATATATTATATAGGTAAAGATATAAATAGAATTGAAACATAGATATAACTTGAGACATTTGTTTTGTAGGTTAGGTACAAATGGTAATGAAACACAATACAATTTAATTACTTGGAGTATATCTATCCTTAGCACATTTCATACAGAATTGTTAGTAATGGAAAAAATTACTCGTATTGATTTAACTAAAAATGGAAATAAAGCATATATTAGTTTTTCTCCCATTCGTAGTTTTGCTAGGTTAGATACAAATGGCAATGAAACACAATCACAATCTAAAATGCGTTTGTTAACCAAATGGAAATGAAACACATTTCAATTTAACTACCCGAATCATTTCCTTTAAAAATTGCATGCCTTAATACATTTGCCATAAACTTAAATTTTCCCTTTTTTAGTTAATTTCTGACAAACATTTTTATTGCCAATGTTTCGCTCATGTTTTTTACCTTTAAGGCCATGCCAATTCCCAACATTGTCTATTGCCTCGTCGCGCCTTAAGCTTATTTTGCCAAAATATTTATGAACTATATAAAAAAAAAAAAACTTTTCGGTCACAAAATGGCCATAAAGTTGATTATAATGTATTTATGAAACAGTTGCCGGCGCTGAGCTCATAAAATGGTCAACGACAATTTTTGGCCAAAACGCTGACAATTTAGTAATTTGTTCGGGCAACCACTTTCCGTCCTCCCCCACCTGCTGCTGCTACTGCTGCACCCCGACATGAAAATGTAACGCGACGGCAATGAAATGAAATGCTCAAGTGAAAACTTGGACTAATTAACGCGACTGGCCGTAATTTGAAAGGAAAGTGCGCCAACTTTATGAGACAACAGAGCAGCGCAGCTCCATAAAATACAGTTAAAAACACATACACTAAAGGAGAAAAGAAAATTTATGCCCACTATTAGAGGTAGAAATCTGATATCACAGATAGTTTATTATTAGGAACACGGGAGATCGCATTACATCAACTCAACGGCAATTGGGCGATTAGAGTTTAAATTGAATAGTTTATAGATGGGTCTACCAGCAGAAAATGGTTAAGGCTAAGAATATGCAATATGATAAGATGAAACGAAATGGAATGGAGCACGAGACAGCTGCACATTGAAATGCTAAAGAGAGATGCAGCAATTAGAGGGAGAAGAAGAGGCTAACAGTATTGATAAAGTACGCAATATAAACCGAAAACGAATTGAGTGGAATGAAATGGAATGAAACAGCTACATGTGCACCTAGCAATGCTTCAGATAAGCTCAACAGCTGTTGATCCTCTTAGGCTTAGGTCATAAAATGAAATGGAATGAAACAGAGACAGCTGCACATAGAAATATGAACAATAGATACTGAAGTTAAATGGAAAAGAAGAGGCTAACAGTTTGATCCTCTCAGTGCTAAGCGCACTCCTTAAACATTTGTTAACCTCACGAAATGAAATGGAATGAAACAGAGACAGCTGCGCCTGAAACCGTTAAATACGAGCATATGGTAATCCGCATTGGAACAATTACATGGAAGAACAAAAAAAAGGGCGAAAAAAGTGTAATCTGGCCTCGGGCTCAGCAATTTCGGCGTCAAAAACGCTGACATTTCTAATTTGCACGACGAGCAGGGAATCGGCGGCGTCGGCTCGTACAATGGTCGTCAGGGTGGCAAGACAAATGACGGGGCAAGGCCCAAAAAATAATTCGAAGGAACGTTTAATTGCGGTTAAGCGGCGGCATCGGCTTCGGCCAACTTAAAGACGTCAAGCCCGAGACCGGAGACTGATGGCTGCCCCAGGGCGCGGACTGCTGCCAGGGGTAGCTGAGTCGCAGAAAAGTTGTGCCCCGTTGCACCACGCCCTATTCAATAACTCAACAAAAGCCGCACAACCGCACGCGCAGCGCAACTTTTATGCATTTTCAATTACGAGAGCGCTTAAAGAATATTCAAACAGCAATAAAAATGGGCGGGGGGCCAATGAAAAAAAAAGGAAAAACTTTTTTTTTTTTTTTTTTTGTTTTTAGCTCTGTTACCCTTGTTGTGTAATATTTGTATATGGCCTGGATTGCGTGCGCCCCTAGCCCGGCCGCGGCCCGTTCACTCGTTTCGTTGTTGTATAATTCATTTCTATAGCCACTTTTATTATTGATTTCTACAACTCGGCGCATTCAAGTCCGGGTCTCATTTAACGTGTAATTGCTTGTTTAGCTCCATTCAAAATGGCCCCTTTCCATGTTTGTGATAAGAGCCAATTGTATCTGTTGTTGTTGTTGTTGTTGTTGTTGTTATATATCGCTAAATTGTAACTGCCTGTTGTCTCTTCTGCTTGTGCCAACAGCTAATATATAACGCGCACGGCGTTGATTTATTGGCCTTAACGCGCCGAATCGTGCCTAATCTAACTAGGTCGATTTTCGGCCGGGCCAACCGTGTGAGCGCCCCCTAACGCTGACTAACTGCAGAAGGCCAAAGAATGGCACAAAAAAATAAACGACACAAATGTGTTTGATTTATCGATTATGATTATCATTATATGCGGCCATAAAAAGTATATTTATTGGGTTTTAAAATCAATAGAAGTTCAATAAGACCGTGTAAATAGTGACGGTATTTTAATAGGGGCAATAAAAGAGTGTTCCATTCCACTTGGCCCGCCCACTGTACTCAACTATAAATCTCTATTTTGTTTAAAAAACCAAGCATTCTTATGCTCTACAAATATTATAATATCGCTCATTGGAGCTATTGATATTTGTTTGGATATATAATAATGCAGTTCCATTCCGTTTTGTTTCGGCGCAATAGAATGATCAGAACAAAAAAGCTGTTAACACTTGAAGTTAACACCATTTACTTAAATAAAATAACATGCCAGAAACATTCACAATTTCCGCATATCTATGTTCCATACCACATTGTACCTAACCTCACAATTAATGTGCGCAAATTGAAAGGATGTGAATTAATACTTAAATCAATTTTTCTTTTGCTATTTAATCAGTATAAGTAACAAAAATTGACTTAAATTTTAAAGCTTGCAACTGCATTTCGTCAATTTGCATTTGAATTTACATGTTCCATGCCACATTGTACCTAACCTCACTCTAATTGGGACACGCCTCTTTGGCGCTTTGCTGGAAACCCGTCAATGGCCTTCTCTAGCCATGGACGGGTCCAACCCAACCACTTGCCACAATTACGAGTACATTTTATATTTTAATTTCTTTTGTCTTTAACGAGCATTACGAGCTTACGGTCAGCTGAAACGAAACAAAAAGTGGAAATTGGCGCAAGGAAAGTGTGAAAAGCAAATAAAATACGCTGAAACTAAAACTTAAACTACAAAAAATAGTTGGGCCTGCTCTTATTTATGTGTAGATATATATACACTTGTATACATTACAAGCACATGTACTTAAGGGCAGGCAAATTGGCTCATGAACTAAATATCAAAGGCCGTGCGCTCATTATATTTTATGGGCCTACCGGCCGGTCCCCAACGAGCGCGTCGGCATAGTTTCAAGGCTCATTTGAGTCAGGTGAGGTCGTTGCCAAAGTTCTTGACGTTTCGTTTTTTTTTTTCCGCTTTTGGCAACGGCATTTAACCTTCGATTTGATACCTCGCATTTGCCACTTTTATTCGATTATTAATGCCAAATTGTCAGGGCATCTCTAATTAGCGTCAACTGATTTCACAATTTGAAATAGTTTTGTAAGAGAATGGAATAGTTCTATAAATTTTATAATATGAGCTATAAAAGAGTTAAAACTGGAACGTATTGAAATGAAACACATGCTAAAACTGTTTGTAATCTGTAACTGGAATGTTTTTGAATTGAAACGAGCCATAAATGAAACCTACTTTCATTCAGTTCATGTAAATTGTAAATTGTAAATACAAAAAACGATTAAAACAATGAATATTACATTGTTGCCAGTAGAAAGGCTGTCAGTGTTTCGATTGCCAAGACGTTCCCAAAGGCTCCCTCGCGCGTGCTCAATTTGATCAATGCAAATCTGGTCAATGCGCCACAATTGGCAGCGGACCGTGTCGAAGTGGATGCAGCGCACGCCATGCCCCATGCTGTTGCTGTTGCTGCTGTTGCTGTTGCTGCTGTTGCTGGTCAGCGTCCAGTGGTGCAACAAGTTTTAATTAAATCTAATTGGCCAGCTGTTGCAGCAACAAAGAAACAATGCCAATAATCAAGGCTGCAAGCCGGGCTTAATTTGAACCGGTTCGCGCCTTGAAAAATTGCCTACAAATCGGAGCCCCTCAATATTATTGAAATACGATTTCGACTTTTTAGCTTTTATTCTATTTTGCCATGAAATATAAGTAGCAAGAGAAAAGAAAAAAAAAACTGTTCTATTTTAAAGAAGAAATTGTTTTGGTGCGCCTCGAACTCGGGTCCTTGCAAGTTCACGAAATGAATCCAGAAGCGCGGGTTCGAGTCCCCTGGTAAAAAGTTTTTTTAATTGTACTAATTATTCTTTTTTCTTTTTCTGCTGCAGAAATCCGGCATCAGCAATTCCGGCTAAACATGTCGCGCGACTACGAGCTGAACAGCGTGGCGCAAGACGATCCCGCACTAATTGCATTCCTGCGCCAGATCCATATGCGCAAGTATATGTATATGGCCAAAAGCGGCGCCGTCTCCAGCTCGGGCAAGGCGCCAGCTGCCAGCGCAGCTGTACCGCCCGCCGGCACGGGCAACAGCAGCAGCAGCAGCAGCGGCGGCGACAGCGTCGCCGATCAGCTGGCGCACTATGTGTCCGATTTGGTCGGTGGGAAGCTGAATGGCGCGGTCATCCAATCGCTGAGCGGTCCGCTGGCGCATCTGATAACGGCGCCCTGGCTGAGCGATCAGCTCAACTGGATGGGCGTCCTGGTGGAGCCGGAGCCGCGCTGGTATTTCGCGTTGCGCAAACAGAATGCGCAACGGCAGCGCATGCAGGTGGTGCATGCCTGCGTTTCGCCCAATCCCTTTCCCAAAGAGGTGAGCAGTCATTTGCAATTGCTTGATTACTTCAAAATCTAAATACAATATTATATTCAATTGCATCTCTTCACAGATAACCATACACAATGAGGATGTGCGCATAAATAGTTTGCACGACGAGGAGACGTCGTGGTTCAATTCGCGTGTCAAATGCTTTCCGCTCTACACAATCATGCTGGCATGTGAGCGCACCGAATACGATCTGCTCAGTCTGGGCGTGCAGGGGCATGAGCTGGAGGTGAGCTGGTCACATACCCTATCTATGAAGAGATATTTGATTAATATATACCGTTTTGCCTTGCAGATCTTGCAAACGCTGCCCTTTGACAAGATCAAAATCGACATCATTTCTATACATTTGCTGGAGGATCACGAAGATGTGCTCGATTATGTGCAGAGCATAACCAAGTTCCTAGCTGGCAAATTCTATAAATTACAGCGTAAAATCGGACGCAATTATTTCTATCAGCGGCTCAATGCCAGCGCCGGTCGGACGCGCAAAAAGGACATACTGCTGCTCAAGACGCCACCACAATAACAACAACAACAACGAATTGAGGACTAAAAGCCTTTATAAAATACTTGCTAAAAAAAAAAAACAACAAAAAACGAGCAAAATTTTTCATACAAGAAAAACAAATACTTTCGATAAACTCAAAAACGTTTATGTTATAATGATAATTATTATATATATACATATATATATATATATATATATATATACCATACCACGCTCTATATATATACACTATATATGTTAAATATTATATACAACCCATACTGTATAACCATTATGATATATATATCTATATATATATCCATATCTATATATATATATGTATATATATATATGTGTGTGTATATGCATACTGTATGTTTAGTTTCTTTTTGTCTTAAACAAATAATCGATTTTTGTTTATGCTTTTTTTCCATTTTTTTCTTTTTGTGTCGAAATTGTTTAATATTATAATTTTTTTTCTCTGCTGCGTGCGTTAAATTATGTTTATGATGCTAAAATGCGCAACTAGCTCTAGCTAAGGTATTATGATTTTTGCTCTAAGCTATGCTAACATATACTCTATATAGTTACATATATACAAATATATATTATTTAATTTAGGCGCGCCCCTAAACTTGTCTTGATCGTGTATGTATAAATTACAAAAATTTGCAACTATTATTTGTAACTGCTTTTTGCTACAACTACATAATATAGTACTACAATATTATAATAATAATAACTATACGACCTATAAATTATTAACTATTGAATGCTTTATTTAGTAAAACATAAGTGAAAAAGAAAACACACACATACACACAATAACTAAATACAACATATTTAAATTATATTAAATTATTGAACCAAAATGCAAGCCCAAGCACATTCATGCACATACTCACACACTCACAACACACACACATACGCAATTATATAAAAAAAAAATAATAATAAATCATTGCAAAATCTGCTTTCAAAACTCATCTCATACTCATAGTTAAAAGTAAGCAACATAAAGAAGCAGCATAAATAGAATTCGTATAATTAATTAATGAAAACAATAATGAACAACAAATTATAAATGAGGCAGCAAACGAAATTAAGCAAATCAAATGAAACAAATTAATTGCGCTTAAAATTAGCAAAAGCAAACATAAAACCCAACACACATGCACATTTTTATGTATTAGCAAATAAATTTATGTAAATTAAATGTAGAACAACAAACAAATAATAATAATTACAAACTATATAAACAAGAGTTAAAACGCATACAAATACACGCGTATTCTAATTACATTTTTAGTAATTACATAATGTATTATTATTTTGTATATTTCATTGCACACACACACACACACACACACACACACGCACACTTTGACGGTTGTTGTTGTTGTTGTCGCTGCAATGTAAACTCGTTGCACCTCGCACTAGCACACACACACACACACATCTACACTCACAAACAGCCCACACACACACACTGCAGCATCGCATATATATTTAAATACAAACAAATCAGTGCCTTTTACTTAGACTGTAAACAAAAAAATGATAAAAACAAAGAAGAACATTATATAATTTTTTTGTTTAGCTATTTTTAACAAAACGTGCAACAACCGTCAATTAGATAAACCACAAATTGCCGCCTCCTAAACTTGCCTTATCGATGTTGTCAGTGCTGGCAGATCGGCTAGACTTTATATATATATATATATACATATATATCTTAACTATACAGATCGGCCAGTTAAACAAGCATAAAACTCGCACAGTTACTAAACAAATCCGTCACAACAATTTATTTAAGCGCTTTGTACAAAAGAAAACGAAACACATAAATCCAACTACACACACACACACACACATACACACTCACACACATAAGCATCACTTTTAAATTTAAGCCTATTCGCAAGTTCTAATTAGTTATAATTAATTAGTTGTGTATTTTTTTTTCTGTGTAAATTAGCGTTTAACCAAATTTTAAGTAGACTTAATTTACATTAAACATAAAGCATATATTTAATTTGGCATCACACACACACACATACACACTCATACATACACTCACACACACACACAAGAAAAAAAGGCTAAGCTCGAAATTATTTATGAACGTAAGCATAAAACGAAAAACTATTTAGTTAATAATGCATAAATAAATCAACGAAAAATTCCAAAAAAAAAAACAAAGAAAAAAATATCTAATAAAAAAAAGATGTAGAAATTTGAGTTTTGATCTGGCACAACATATAGAACTATATTCTATATAATATCTGTAACGTAACAAAAGGTAAATTGTTTGTCTTATGAAAAGAAATGACTTAAAAGAAAACAACTTTTGAATTATATATGCAAAAAACGCGAAAATATATGCTAAAAGAAAATAACAAACAACCTTATAGCTAGACACTTGCAAACAAATTGATAAACAGGCTTACAAGAGAACTAAAAGCAGAATATACCGAAATTTATTAACTAAAACCAACAAAATTTACACAATGAATAAAATAAAGATTTACATAAAATGTATAAATACAAATATTTTGAATGCGTTTTGTAAACAAAAGCAAAAATCAAATTTCGAATTTAGTCGGCATTATTTATGATTTATATAGAAGCGTGTGAGTAAGTGTATGCATTACATATAATATGTAACTAGAAATTATATATTTTACATTATAATTTCCATGGAAATATATTGGAATCTAGCTATTAAAAATTATATATGGTGATAGGTAGAGAATCAAGACTCTAGCTTCAAATTGTATTCGATTCCAAAATCTGTACGTTCATATATGAGAACATTTATTGACAGGACTTAGTGTAAACGAATAACTGTGCTCATTTTTATTTATTATGTATTTACTTTGATTTCCGGCAAAATGGCCGCAATAAGTGCGTCAGCCCAAAAGCAGGCAACACTTTTTATCGCTGCGTTGTCAGGAACAACTTGTTGCGCCAACAACAACAACAACAACGTCAACCACGCCCACCCTTTAGCTAAGCCAGCAAATGGCGTAAGTCAAAGCCAAAAAGCCAACACTTAGCCAAGGGCTTAGACAGGCCCCAGCTGAGCGTTGATCCCCTTTGAAGCGACCAAAAGCCGGAAACGAACAAAGCGACGGACAAACTCATTAAAAGGGTATTAGGCATGCAGTTGGGTTTTATTGAGTGCTAAAATGAATACGTTACGCACAGCTATGCCAAGGGGCGAATACGCAGAGGGATTAGCAGAGCAGCGGCGCGGCAGAGCGACAGTGCGACGGCAGAGCAGCAGCAGAGCGACACTTCGACTTGGCCATTGTCTGGGATATGGGCTGGCCGCTGCCTTCCAGCGCAGCGACGCCGCTGCCTGGAAGCTCTCCCTCACACTTTGTTGCTGTTTATTTTTGGCTAGCGCCCGCACAGCGTCGGCAACAGGCTGTTGGCGGAGCTTTTGCTCGCGCTGCGACGCGCACGCGTTGCGCTGACACACTAACACACATGCAGCGCGGGCAGCGGACAGGCGCAGTCGGACGCGACGCTGCGCACGAAAGTGAAAGCTGCGACTTTCAAACTGTTGCGCGCTCGAGCTCCTTCTGTAAAATCAATAACGGCAGAGTGCGAGACAAAGCAAACAGCTGTCAACCTACGTCAAGTGCGAGTGGAAGAGCTGGAGCTGTTAAGTTGGCTGTCGCCGTAGCGCATATGCTGCGGCATATGGCAAACGGATGTCGGTTGGTAGCAAAACAGGTATGCAAATATTTTAATATTTCATAAGTTTCTTTTTCAGCTGCTGCTCAAGTTAACATCAAACATAGTTTGGCCGCAGCTATGTACACTATTTTGGCCAGCACTGTGCCGACGATTGACATTTAAACTTCAAAGTGCCACTGAAAGTAAGGGCAGCGGGCTTAAAAAGCTCTGGCAAAGCTTTCGCCTGATGGCGTATGTGCCTAACCTACAGCACACAAGCAGAGCTAACCAACGCACACACACACGCACAAAAATGCGTAGGAATTTGTTGGCAACAAACTTGTGTGCGTGTGCGTGTGTGTGTGGGTTTGCGTGCGTGTGAAACTCCGAAGCGGCAGCGCCGAGCCACAAGCAGCGCTGCAAACGAACGGCAATTTCAGTAGGACAGGCAGTCCTTCGACTGACGGTCAACGCGAGCAGCCACCAAAAGAATTTATAAGCAGCACCCAAAATTAAAACAGGCAGCAATAGGAGCAGTGAATGAAAAGAAAAATGTAAAAGAATGTGTTTCATATATTATTTATCTACCAGAATATTAAAAAAAAAAAAAAAAACATTTATGTACTCCGTAAATAGTCAGGCGAACAAATATGGCGACAGAGCTTTTGGCTTGGCCACTGGCAGTTACAAGTTTATTTGTTCGTCATTTAAAAGCGAAAGTGAAATGAAAATTTGACACTGAACTTCACGAGATAAATGTGTACATATATGTATTTAAATATGTGTGTATGTGTGTGAGTAGGTGTCTGTGTGTGTGCGCATGCTGACAATAACAGCGCACAGCATTAATACGGCCCAGAACTATGCTGGATAAAATGTATGGCTCAAGCATATGGCGAGCTGTTGTTGCTATTTTAACAAGTCCATCAACAAAAATAACAACAACAGCAGCCGTGACGTGCAGTTTTATGTGTGTGTGGGTGTGTGTGTGTGTGTCCACAAACAAGCGACAGCGTAACGGACAATTTGCGCAAACAACAGCAACAGCAACAGAAATAACAGGCATCTCAACTTGACTCGTATACACACACGCACACATACTATGTTAGCCGTGTATGTGTGTGTGTGTGTGTGTGTGTGTGTGTTAGCCTATGACAGCAGCACCCGCTTATTGCGTCGCAATTCGCTCTCACTCTTCCGCACTCGCTCTCTTGCTCTCACTCTCACTCTCTGCTCGTGGGCGTGCGACAACTTTGCACCGTTTCTTTTTTTGGCCGCATACAAATACAAACAAGCTGGCAATATCAGAGTGACATAAACATTAACAGCGCGGCGCCTTCTGGGCAATTAGATGCCCAGGCGCAGGCTCTGCCTGCCCACTCTGCTTTCCATTCATGCTCTCTTTCTTATTTAGTTATCAACGTCATCGCGCGCCTGCAAACACCTGCGGGTTGCCGCCTGCCCACACACAAATACAAACGCAAACACACGCACACACACACACACACACACACTCAGTCACAAATCGAATTACCGGCGCTCTCATAAGCTCACTATGTGGCTTTAGCGCTCTCTTTCTCTCTCTCTCTCTCTCTCTCTCTCTCTCTCTCTCTCTCTTTGAAGAAGCGTTTCGCTTAGGACATCGAGCGGTCGCTGCTGCTGTCGTCAGTCGCTGACGTTGTTTGCGTCAAAAAGAAGTTGTTGCTGCTCGCCCACAGGCAAAGAAGCGAAGAAGAAGCATCAGAAAAGAACAAAAGTTAACAGTAGAATTTAGCAGTTGTTTGATGGACCTTGTCCAAAGTTGAACGCATCTGTAATTTTATGTGCGTTGTGTGGTGCCTCTTTTCAGCTGGGCAATAAAAACGAAGTACAAAATTAACGCAAAGCCAACAACAGCAATCAACCAATCAAAAAGCAACAACAACAGCAACAAGAACAACAACTATTTGCATGTCTTCGTTCATTTGCGCTGAAAATGATATAAAAACCTACATGAGCCACGCTATAAATGTCAAACTGAGGTGAGTCCCATTGCAAATAAATGTATATATACATATGTATATATATATATATATATAGATGTGTTTATTTGTTCGTGTATCTGTCTATATGCACGGTCTAGTGCAGGCTAAGTGAGTTGACCTTTGACGTGCGCGCGTGTGTGGCAACAGGTGCGCCCGCCTGGGCCCCTCCCCCCTCTCCTGCATTCGCCGTGTCTTGTTTTAAGGGCAAATGCAATATGCAAATTGCTAACAGCCGCAGTTAAATACGCGAATTTAAGTGAGAAATACCTTTTGATTCTCGAACAGATGCCGACTTTTGATTGCCTTTCTGAAATTTCAATTCTATTTGAGGAAATTTTACAAAAATGTCAAGGGGTGTATCATGTACATCACAAATTTTGACGAGATAGGCTTGATCCTCAGCTGAAATACCAGGGGAACAGAAGTGCCTAGCATGGAGATGCACAGATAAATGTAATTTAAAAAAATTTCATTGCATACCCACAAGGTGAAAAATGATATTATGATAACTTCATAATAGTCGCCTGTTAATTAGCAAGTGCAGCTGTTATTTAACAGTTTGATATTAAACAGCTGTTATATAACAGTTCACTGTTACTTAACATACCAGTGTTAACAACTGCTGCTAAGCGGAGCGCGTGAGATTTAAACAAAAACTTGACAAAAATACCAGGTGAACAGAAATGCCCAGTAGCCAGACGAACTAAAATTTATGTGAAAAAAAATATTGCATACCCTAACGGGGCCCGCGGAGGAGCAGCTGGGTGCTTAGATTTCATCGAAAATACGGCTGAAGTATCAGGCGAACAGAAATGCCTAGTAGGCAGCCGAACTACAATTTTACCCACAAGGTGCAAAAATGTTCAACTGCTAAATCAACGCTCGCACATCTCTTTTGCATACTTTAACTGTCGCTATTAACAGCAGGCACAACATACTGTTAAGCTGCAGCTATGTTAAAGGGGTCCTGTAAGCAAAATAGCGTGCATATTTCCTTCCTTTAGGTTCACCAGGACTATATCAATGGTATGGTATAACCAAGGATATATTAGTCAACTAGGTACCATCGAGGGGGCTGGGACTGTTGCTGTGAGGCGGCTGTAAGAAAAAGCATTCATATTTTTTGAACATTTCAGCCTTTTAGGTTCACCAGGACAGTATCTTTAGTATGGTAAAACCAAGGATATATTGGTCATGTAGGAACCATCGATTTGGAATGTCTGTTCGCCGGGTCGTGGCAAATATTGCACAATATGCCAAAAACAGCAATTAAAAAAGTTTAAAGATTTAAAAGGACATTTCGCGGTCAAATAAAGATCAGGTGCTTTTAACTCGTGGAGGTCCATTGAACAGATTGGCATCAAAGTTTTTGGATTTAAGAAAATAAATCATTTTTAGCGAATATCATTTTTGATCAATTTGGGTTAAGGTTTAGAATGTGGATTAAATAAATTTATATTATTTTGGGGTTGCATATACATAATACTTTTTTTTATAAATTATGTATTATTACGTATTTAAGAAAATACCTGAAAATAGCTCCGAAGAGTCCTGAGTCCAACAAATCGAATGATCCAGCTTACCAGAATATCAAACCGATTTCGCATCTAACCCAAATGCGGACGCTTGGTTGCAATTAATATTTCTTTTTCAAATTTAACGGCCGCCACATTCCATTCGGCATGTCGGCTGTGTCACAAAATTGGGACCAAATTCAGCTGAATTACCAGGCGAACAGAAATGTCCGCAGGTAGTCAAAAGTCTGCGACACCAGAATAAAATTAGAATGTGCGCCGGCGCGCCATTGGTCAAGCGCAAATCCATGATGGCTGCTCGACGAAATATGTAACTGTAACTATCCTTTTGCTTTTGATTCCTATGCATATTCGTTAATATATAGTGATGCGCAAGCACGGAAGTGATGCGCTGAATTTGGCTGAATTGTGCGATATCCGCTAAGTCTAGCCATTTATTTTGGCGGTTGTCTGTAAATTTAGTAAATTGAGTCCGATCTTGGGCACAATATTTTGACTCGTGAGAACTATATCTATGCCATACGCTTGCAAGCTCCGACGACTCCTTTTTCTAACAAATCGAATGATCCAGGCGTTATTATCCAGGCATCTTTCGAGATATAAAACCGCTATAATATCTTACTTAAATGCGGTTGCTTGGTTGCAATTAATATTTCAAATTTAACGGACGCCACATTCCATTCGGCATGTCGGCTGTGTCACAAAACTTCAACCAAATTCAGCTGAATTACCAGGCGAACAACAATATCAGCAGGTAGCCAAAATTCCGCGACACCAGAATAGACTAGATTGTGCGCCGGCGCGCCATTGGTCAAGCGCAAATCCATGATGGCTGCTCGGCAAAATATGTAACTGTAACTATCCTTTTGCTTTTGATTCCTATGCATATTCGTCAATATATAGTGATGCGCAAGCACGGAAGTGATGCGCCGAATTTGGCTGAATTGTGCGATATCCGCTAAATCTAGCTATTTATTTTAATGAATTCCGGCCAGTTTAGTAAATTGAGTCCGATCTTGGGCACGTGGTTTTTTTTTCAACTCGTGAGTGTATTGAAGCTGTATTAAATATTGCCAAATTTTTAAATTGAAATTATCACCATGTACGATTGGCCATACAAATTTAAATTTGAAAATTCAGCATCAAGTTATAATACTCACACGATAAAAATAATATAATCTGCCGAAGATCAGACTCAATTTAATAAATTTGCAGACATCCGCCAAAATAAATGGCTAGACTTAGCGGATATCGCACAATTCAGCCAAATCCAGCGCATCACTTCCGTGCTTGCGCATCACTATATATTAACGAATATGCATAGGAATCAAAAGCAAAAGGATAGTTACAGTTACATATTTTGCCGAGCAGCCATCATGGATTTGCGCTTGACCAATGGCGCGCCGGCGCACAATCTAGTTTTATTCTGGTGTCGCGGAATTTTGGCTACCTGCTGATATTGTTGTTCGCCTGGTAATTCAGCTGAATTTGGTTTCAATTTTGTGACACAGCCGACATGCCGAATGGAATGTGGCGGCCGTTAAATTTGAAATATTAATTGCAACCAAGCGTCCGCATTTAAGTAAGATATTATAGCGGTTTTATATCTCGTAAGATGCCTGGATCATGCGATTTGTTAGAAAAAGGAGTCGTCGGAGCTTGCAAGCGTATGGCATAGATATAGTTCTCACGAGTCAAAATATATCATGTGCCCAAGATCGGACTCAATTTACTAAATTTACAGACAACCGCCAAAATAAATGGCTAGACTTAGCGGATATCGCACAATTCAGCCAAATTCGGCGCATCACTTCCGTGCTTGCGCATCACTATATATTGACGAATATGCATAGGAATCAAAAGCAAAAGGATAGTTACAGTTACATATTTCGTCGAGCAGCCATCATGGATTTGCGCTTGACCAATGGCGCGCCGGCGCACAATCTAATTTTATTCTGGTGTCGCGGAATTTTGGCTACCTGCTGATATTGTTGTTCGCCTGGTAATTCAGCTGAATTTGGTCCCAATTTTGTGACACAGCCGACATGCCGAATGGAATGTGGCAGCCGTTAAATTTGAAATATTAATTGCAACTAAGCAACCGCATTTAAGTGAGATATTATAGCGGTTTTATATCTCGAAAGATGCCTGGATAATAACGCCTGGATCATTCGATTTGTTAGAAAAAGGACTCGTCGGAGCTTGCAAGCGTATGGCATAGATATAGTTCTCACGAGTCAAAATATATCATGAGCCCAAGATCGGACTCAATTTACTAAATTTGCAGACATCCGCCAAAATAAATGGCTAGACTTAGCGGATATAGAATTATTCTGCCAAATTCGGCGCATCTCTTGCGTGCTGGCGCATCACTATATATTGACGAATATGCATAGGAATCAAAAGCAAAAGGATAGTTACAGTTACATATTTCGTCGAGCAGCCATCATGGATTTGTTCTTGACCAATGGCGCGCCGGCGCACAATCTAATTTTATTCTGGCGTCGCGGGCTTTTGACTACCTGCTGACATTTCTGTTCGCCTGGTAATTCAGCTGAATTTGGTTCCAATTTTGTGACACAGCCGACATGCCGAATGGAATGTGGCGGCCGTTAAATTTGAAATATTAATTGCAACCAAGCGTCCGCATATGTATGGGTAATAAATATGTGCTATCGCTTGATATCTCGTAAACTGCTACGAGAACCGCTGGATCATTCGATTTGTTAGACAGTCGTGCAAGCGTATGGCATAGATATAATAATAGCTAGTTCATTAAAAAGGATTCATTCTCTATTTTGATTTTACTGTATTTACAAAATTCAAAATTTACAGTTAGCTACATTTAATTTAAATATATACCGATGGCAATCGATAGTCGAAAACCTTAAATATCCGTATCTCGGCCAAAAAAAGCTCGATCCCGAAACAGATTGGACACATGTTACATTAATTTAATAATTAATACATTTTATTTCTTTCTCTTAGCATGATACCTACATACATATGTATTATATGTGTCTAATTAAGTTTATTTTTTAAATACATAGATATAGCTCGGTTAAATGAAGCCTTCTTTTATTAGCGAATGTAATCAGAATCGATGCCAGCTCTTGACTTCTTCAATCTGAAAAGATAATAAGAAAAAGTAATTATGTAAATAAAAATGACATCATAAGGCAACACTTTAGATTTGCATATCAAGGGCAAACTTAAGTCATGCTACGTATATTTTTCCAAAATATATATCCATATATACAATTAATGAAAACATTTTTTGCTAAGCATAAAAAGTATGCACCAAAAATTCTAAGCCGTGAATTTGACCACGGCGCAAAGTATGGAATACATAATATTTATAATAAACAAACTCGTTTGCTCAAACATGGTTCATTGTCTATTTTGAAATTGTTAAACAATGCACTTTACGCCTTAGCCCCCAGGCAATGGAGCATACCTGATGTCTTCAGTGTGTGCTCAAATACAGGTGCGAGCATCTTCTTGTGCTTGTTATTTACGTCGTTTCAATGGAAACGCAGTCACGTGCTGTGCTAATTTCGGGTAGATCAGGTGGCAGGACATGTGCCACGGATTCAATTGACGCATTTGTGACGCAAAGGCAACAGCTGCCGATGGGGCAAGTGCGTCAATTGTGTGCTTGAGCTCCTTCATTTACTTTGATTGAATGCTGTTGACAGGCTGGATGTGTGTGGCGATGCGAATATGCTGGCTTAAATATAGCAGCAATAGCAACAACAACAACAACAACAACAAACAGCCGAACATTTCTATTCTTTGGAGTTATAAATGTCACACAGCGGGAAAAATTCATTTTGATTAAGACTTGTGTAAACAGCCGGAAGCTGTGTCGCCCGCGGCAATTCCCTCGCCGCGGCGTTTTCGCTTTATAAATGAAACGCAAATATTTGTGCGTCAACAATGGGGTGGCATATAAAAAAGCAATTCGTAAGCTGCCACACATCAAATTTACCAGATAGTTTAACAGAGAGGCGCTAATAAACGAACGAAACGAAACGAAACGAAAAAAAAAAATATAGGAATAAAAGCACTTTTGTTTCATAGTTGAAAGGCTCCATAAAAACAAAGTCCAGCGCTTGCATAAATATTTAACTGACACATAAAAAGTGTATCAACATGACGAAAAATAAAAACAATAACAAAACCTAAAGAGTTGACCGAGCTCTTCGTAAGTAAGAGTAAAGTAAAATATTTTGTAATATTTATATGTATATTAAATATAAGTTCGTATAAACTGCTATTAATTTTCCTTGTCGATTAATTATTGTCAATTAATCATCATTTTTTATGTTCATTATCAAATTCGATTTGGTTTTTATGACGTTGTGTGTAATTATAGTGACATCGATTGAATTATATCAATTTATATTAATGTAATAAAACCATATTCCGCATTCCAGTTTCTATATTATAATGGCCCGGTCAAAATATTATTTTTAGACGAAGTAGATTTGGCTTATCATGTGTTTATTAACTTGCCCAGATATCTTAGCCTTCCTCTATCTTAACCTACATATTTAAGATTTTCGAGCCAGAAAAGTTTTAATGGAGATTTTAATTTGTTATCGGAACACTCCCCACCGAACAATTTGCTGCGCTCTGAAAAGTATGCAATGAAAATGATCCGGTTTATATACTTATTTTTCGCATGCCATGAAATGAAATTAGAATATTATTTGTTTTCGAAGTGAATAGATGCGTTTTACGCGCGCAGCACTTTGCCTTTGATTTTTATTAAAATCAATTATTTTTGTTATCACAAAATAATCAACTGGCCTGCTCGGGAGTATAGTTTGATTTACCGCGAGTGTATGCTGTGTGTTTTCGTGCACTAAACAATTTAACTTGGAGCTCTAGTAGTTCTTGCTGGTAAGCTCAACTAACATGGTTTGTTGTTTTTGCTTAACTGCATATCGCTGATCTCTTGTGTGCAAGCGATAATCTTTGAACCCGTGCTGCTACTGATTACGTTTTTAATAATTTCCCATTTGTATACATTTTCCGGTCGCCTATTAAAATGGAAGCTAACAGTGTCGCTTTGTGAAAGACTGCGAAATGCAGACAGCTGCTAACAATGTTGGCTATATTAAGCATTTAACATGTATAGGTTCCATGGGTCAAGTGGGTGATTCTGTCGTCCCACGAAATGGTGTGCCTTATAGTTCCGATTCGACTGTAGGCAGCAGAGAAGTTCATTTAGTATGATTCGAGCTGCTAACACGAAGCGAACATTTTGGGATCAAACATGCTCGAGCTAACTAACTGATAATCTTATGAATGATATACCAAGTGATTGTTCCGAATAGAGAAAAAATACCCTTTTTCTTTGTCGATTTGTTTTTGATCCGTTCGAATTAAAATATTAAAAGAAAATCATCAAAAAAGTTTCGATTTTCGAGCCGACCTCCGATATTGAAAAAAACGTGATGTAACCCCTTGCTTTTTTGTTGATTTTGGTCAAAATTTAGATTTTCAGCCCTTTGATGCCAATCGATAGTACTGATCGTTACGAGTCCAAAATGGTATAAAATTCAATAATCGGACATTATTTGGCCGAGATATTTCACAAAATCATGAAAAATGGTTGACTTTACAAACACATCGGTTTTTGGTCAACAACTTTTTTGAGCTCACCGATTGTTAAATTGTTTAAATGCCAATTGATAGTAGGGATCCGTACGAATAAAAAAAGGTACAAAATTTAAAAATCGGACGATATTTACCCGAGATATTAAAAGAAAATTATCAAAAAAGTTTCGATTTTCGAGCCGACCTCCGATATTGTAAAAACGTGATGTAACCCCTTGCTTTTTTGTTGATTTTGGTCAAAATTTAGATTTTCAGCCCTTTGATGCCAATCGATAGTACTGATCGTTACGAGTCCAAAATGGTATAAAATTCAATAATCGGACATTATTTGGCCGAGATATTTCACAAAATCATGAAAATTGGTTGACTTTACAAACACATCGGTTTTTGGTAAACAACTATTTTAAACCCACCGATTGTTAAATTGTTTAAGTGACAATTGATAGTAGGGATCCCTACGAATTAAAAAAGGTACAAAATTTAAAAATCGGACTATATTTTCCCGAGATATTAAGAAAAAATCATCAAAAAAGTTTCGATTTTCGAGCCGACCCCCGATATTGAAAAATACATGATGTAACCCCTTGCTTTTTTGTTGATTTTGGTCAAAATTTAGATTTTCAGCCCTTTGATGCCAATCGATAGTACTGATCGTTACGAGTCCAAAATGGTATAAAATTCAATAATCGGACATTATTTGGCCGAGATATTCCACAAAATCATGAAAAATGGTTGACTTTACAAACACATCGGTTTTTGGTCAACAACTTTTTTGAGCCCACCGATTGTTAAATTGTTTAAATGCCAATTGATAGTAGGGATCCGTACGAATTAAAAAAGGTACAAAATTTAAAAATCTGACGATATTTACCCGAGATATTAAAAGAAAATTATCAAAAAAGTTTCGATTTTCGAGCCGACCTCCGATATTGTAAAAAACGTGATGTAACCCCTTGCTTTTTTGTTGATTTTGGTCAAAATTTAGATTTTCAGCCCTTTGATGCCAATCGATAGTACTGATCGTTACGAGTCCAAAATGGTATAAAATTCAAAAATCGGACATTATTTGGCCGAGATATTCCACAAAATCATGAAAAATGGTTGACTTTACAAACACATCGGTTTTTGGTCAACAACTTTTTTGAGCCCACCGATTGTTAAATTGTTTAAATGCCAATTGATAGTAGGGATCCGTACGAATAAAAAAAGGTACAAAATTTAAAAATCGGACGATATTTACCCGAGATATTAAAAGAAAATTATCAAAAAAGTTTCTATTTTCGAGCCGACCTCCGATATTGTAAAAACGTGATGTAACCCCTTGCTTTTTTGTTGATTTTGGTCAAAATTTAGATTTTCAGCCCTTTGATGCCAATCGATAGTACTGATCGTTACGAGTCCAAAATGGTATAAAATTCAATAATCGGACATTATTTGGCCGAGATATTCCACAAAATCATGAAAAATGGTTGACTTTACAAACACATCGGTTTTTGGTCAACAACTTTTTTGAGCCCACCGATTGTTAAATTGTTTAAATGCCAATTGATAGTAGGGATCCGTACGAATTAAAAAAGGTACAAAATTTAAAAATCTGACGATATTTACCCGAGATATTAAAAGAAAATTATCAAAAAAGTTTCGATTTTCGAGCCGACCTCCGATATTGTAAAATACATGATGTAACCCCTTGCTTTTTTGTTGATTTTGGTCAAAATTTAGATTTTCAGCCCTTTGATGCCAATCGATAGTACTGATCGTTACGAGTCCAAAATGGTATAAAATTCAATAATCGGACATTATTTGGCCGAGATATTCCACAAAATCATGAAAAATGGTTGACTTTACAAACACATCGGTTTTTGGTCAACAACTTTTTTGAGCCCACCGATTGTTAAATTGTTTAAATGCCAATTGATAGTAGGGATCCGTACGAATTAAAAAAGGTACAAAATTTAAAAATCGGACGATATTTACCCGAGATATTAAAAGAAAATTATCAAAAAAGTTTCGATTTTCGAGCCGACCTCCGATATTGTAAAAAACGTGATGTAACCCCTTGCTTTTTTGTTGATTTTGGTCAAAATTTAGATTTTCAGCCCTTTGATGCCAATCGATAGTACTGATCGTTACGAGTCCAAAATGGTATAAAATTCAAAAATCGGACATTATTTGGCCGAGATATTCCACAAAATCATGAAAAATGGTTGACTTTACAAACACATCGGTTTTTGGTCAACAACTTTTTTGAGCCCACCGATTGTTAAATTGTTTAAATGCCAATTGATAGTAGGGATCCGTACGAATAAAAAAAGGTACAAAATTTAAAAATCGGACGATATTTACCCGAGATATTAAAAGAAAATTATCAAAAAAGTTTCTATTTTCGAGCCGACCTCCGATATTGTAAAAACGTGATGTAACCCCTTGCTTTTTTGTTGATTTTGGTCAAAATTTAGATTTTCAGCCCTTTGATGCCAATCGATAGTACTGATCGTT